GGCCTGGGCACTGCCCTTCAGCTCTTCAGCTCAAGGCTATCTCTCTACCACTGGAGACACAGTGCTCCTTCTGGTTTTCTGGTGGTTAATTGGAGATAAGAGTCTCACAGACTTTCCTGCCTGGGCTAGCTTTGAATTGCGATCCTCAGATCTCAGCCTCCTGAGTAGTAAGGATTACAGGTGTGAGCCACTGGCACCCAGCCTGATTGTTTTTTAATGAAAAATTTGAGAATTACCTTGGTGTTGCTGGGCGCCAGTGGCTCACACCTGTAATTCAGCTATTCAGGCTGAGATCTGAAGATCACAGTTCAAAGCCAGTCCAGGCAGGAAAGCCCATGAAACTCTTAACTCCAATAAACCACTCAGAAAACCGGAAGTAACACAGTGGCTCAAATGGTAGAACACTAGCCTTGAGCTGAAGAGCTGAGGGACAGCGTTCAGGCTCAGAGTTCAAGATCCATGATCTACAAAAAAAAAAAAAAATTACCTTGGTGCTTGTATATTTTTGTGTGGGCATGTACTAGATTTAGGACTTAAACTTGAGTCCTTGCTTAGATTTTCTACTCAAGGATGGCACTCTACCATTTGAGCCATGCCTCCAGTCTCAGTTTTTTGCTGGGTAATTAGAGATAAATCTCTCAGATGTGTCTGCCAAGACTGGCTTCAAACTATGGTCTTTAGCTCTCAGCCTCTGAGTAGCTAGGATTATAAGTGTGAGCTACCAGTGTCCAGTTTAAAAAATTAATATTTTATAACATTTACTACACAGTATATAAGCCAGATGTTCTAAGTCTCTTGGCCCATAGGTAGTGTTTTGGGACCAGGTTATTTTACAAGTGGTCCTAGGGAGGATGCTGTTTAGGACTGAGAGGTAACTGTAAAGACTCAAGTCAGATGCACGAGTGCAGCTGACAAAGCAACTGTCTTTGAAGTTTGATGTTATTATGTCCATCTTGTCAGCCACCCTGCCTCATGGAGACTCCCCACCCACCCAGTAGTTTTTAATGGGTCACAGGAGGAAAATGGTTATCAGTGGCTTTTATTATTTATTTAATTTATTTATTTTTGTTGGTTGTGGGGCCTGAACTCTGGGCCTGGGTGCTGTCCCTCAGCTCTTCAGCTCAAGGCTAGCGCTCTACCACTTGAGCCACAGCGCCACTTCCAGCTTTTTCTGCTTATGTGCTGAGGAATCAAACCCAGGGCCTCATGCATGCAAGGCAAGCGCTCTCTACCCAGCCCTATCAGTGGCTTTTCATGGATCACAAAAGGAAACGTCATATACAATTATTGAGCATAAACTGTGGCCCTGGATGGAACTATTAGGGGTTTTACATTTGTGTTCTCCTTTTTTTCTCATAACCCTCCCTATGAGATGAAAAGTAACAATTTCATAGATAATAACCAATGGTGCATAGGCTTCCACAGAAAGAGATTTAACTGTGGTTCACTCTGTGTCTCACATTGAAATCCTGGGCCTTGACAACATGCTGTTTCCCTGTTCCAAGAAGCCAAGCCTGGCAGAAGTTGTGTGGGACTTTCTTGTTCCCTGGAGTACCTCAAGATATCTGCGGCCCTTCCCTGGAGGCCCAGTGTCCTCTGTTCTCTGCCTTCAGAAGCTATAGCAGATGATTCCAGGCCTGGCTGATGAGAGAGAAGGCTGAGAACATCAAGATAATGACAAACACAGGATGGGGGAAAATCTGAATCAGAAATGGGATTTGGGCTCAGAGCAGAGTGAAGACTCCTATGGGAAGCTGAGGCTGTATCCTCACATCCTGAATACCATGTTCAAGCCTTTCTAGCAAGCCCATGGCTTGAGATGACAGGGATGGATTAGAAGAGCTGACCAGAGCCATCTTTATCCCTATGACCCTCCCCTACATGTAGAAATATAGACTGTTCAATAGTTCATTATGGGGAAGGTCCTTCAGCCTCTGGGAGAAATGTCTCCCCAGCAGGTGGCTGTTTAGTCTCAGGGAATCGTCTTGGCTTGTGACGATATGTTCTCCTTTCCCCAAATCACCCCACCCACATGTGGCTCTACCATGCAAATGAACAGGAGAGAAAAGAAAGGGAAAGCTAGGTCTGGGACCTGAGAAATACCAACTCAATTCCCCAAACCAGGGACTATATTTCTTCATTTTTATTCTTCCTTGTATCTCATGGACCTGGTTTCTGGGTTTTTTTGAGGGGGGCGGGGGGTGTCAATCCTGGAGCTTGAACTCAGGGCCTTGGTGCTACCCCTGAGCTTTTGTGCTCAAGGCTAATGCTCTACCACTTGAGCCACAGCTCTACTTCTGGCTTTGTTTTGGAGGGGGGGGGGGTGGCTTAATTGGAGATAAGAGTCTTATGGACTCTTCCTACCTGGCCTGGCTTTGAACAGCAATCCTCAGATCTCAGCTCCTGAGTAACTAAGCATCATGTACTTTCTAGACCTTTGCTAGTAGCTGCTTCCAGGATTGGTGGCCACCCTTATCTCTTGACATTCTCCACATTCCAGGCCTCTGGCTCCCTTAGATTCTTGAAAACACTAAGCCATTTATCCTGCCTGAACTAGGGCTCTGCTGCCTGCTGGAGACATGAATTTTCTCTCAGTCCCAGGTCCCCCACATGTGTCAGTAGCTACTGGTCTGGAGATTCTGTACCTCACTCCATTAGTGGCTCTGGCAAGGTTTTCTGCTGCTGGGTTCCATGGTACATGCTGTTGCCATGGAGGCATTGGTGTTTCTAGACTGGGTGGTAATATACTGAGGGAAGAACATGCTGAAGACCCAGAACAGGGTCTGATATGCATCAGTACATGCAGGCATGCATGAGTACATGCAATAAACTTGCACTCAGTGTTAATGACTGATGAATCATGTGGTCAAGGACTTTGTGGGAAATGGTACAGTGAGCTTAATGTGGACTGAAGCTATCACAAGTGGCCAGACTGGATGATCTTCCTCTGAAGACCTGGACAAAGGTGTGTTTGTGTGTGTGTCTCTGTGTGTGTGTGTGTGTGTGTGTGTGTACATGTATAAGCATGTGTGCACACGCACATGCGTGCACATCCCAGTACTGGGGCTTGAACTCAGGGCCTTGAACTTTTTGCTTTGCTTTTTTCTGGTTGGTTGGAGATGAGTGCCTCGTGGATGTTTTTGCTTGGGGTCATTTCAAACCATGATCCTCAGATCTCAGCCTCCTGAGTAGCTAGAACTACAGGCATGAGCCACCAGCACCTGGCAGACAGAACTTTTTAATGTATGCAATTCTGTCCAGCATAGTTGCCTGGCCACATTAGTTTTTATTCATTTACTTTTTTGAAGTCCTGGGGGTTGAACTCAATGTATGGTGCCTGATTGGCTAGTGTTCTATCACTTGAGCCATACTTGGTTCTTTTGCTATTTGTTTTTATCTCTCTTTTTTAAAAAATAATTTTATTATTAAGGTGTTGTACAGAGTGGTTACCATTTCACAATTCAGGTAATGTGTACATTTCTCTTTGGACAATGTCACCCCATCCTTCACTTTCCCCCACTTTCCCCTTCCCCTCCCTGCCCACAAGTTGCATAGTTCACTTTCCACATAGTGTAGACTGAATACCATGATTGCATTTGTTTGCCCTTCCTCCTTCGCTTTCTGCACCCTCTCCTTTCTCCTTCCCCAAGAAGCAGAAAAAGAAAAAGGGTAGGGGGAACACTACCACCAGCAGCAAAATAAATAACTTGTGTTTCCCTTTCCAGGAATTCATTTCAATAAATAGTAGTTTACATGTTCAGGAGATTATGCCTTTGGGTTCCTCCCCTAAGGGTATCCTTTGGTCTCACTGTGTGAGTGCCTAGAGTCCTGTTTAATTTACCATGCCCTGGTGTATTTTAGATCTAGCTTCTAAATAGGAGAGAAATATTCGTCGTCACTTTTTGAGCTTGGCCTACCTCACGTAACATGATTTGTTCTAGGTCCATCCATTCCCCTGCAGATGACATTATTCTTTCTAATGGATGAGTAAAATTCCATTGTGTATCCCTTGTATGACATTTTACTCTACTCATCTACTCTAGGGCATCTGGGCTGTTTCTAGAACTTGGCTATGGTGAATAGTGAACATGGATGCACAAGTGTCTTCACTGTCTCCTGATTTGTAACATTCTGGGTAGATGCCCAAGAATGGTATGGCTAGGTTGTAGGGAAGTTCAATGTTTAGTTTTTTGAGGAACTGCCAGACTTCCTGCAAGAGTGGTTGTACTAGTTTACAGTCTTACCAACAGTGCAATGGGATTCCTTTATCCTAACATCCCATCCAAGCATTTGTTGTTGTTAGATTGGCCACTATCAAGAATACAAACTGGGATGAGATGGAATCTCAAAATTGTTTTGATTTGCATTTCCTTTATGGCCAGTGTTGTTGAGCATTTCCTTATGTGTTTGCTTGCCATTTTCTTCTTCCAAGAAGTTGCTCTTAAGCTCCATTGCCCATTTGTTGATTTGTTAGTTTTGGAGGGGGGTTGCTTTTTGAGTCCTTTGGATGTTAGTCAGATGTCTCTGTTGGCTGTCTTTCTAGTTTAGTAACTATGTCCCTCACTGTGCAGAAACTTTTTATTTTGTGTAATCCTATTTGTCAAGTTTTTTTTTTCTTTTAAGACTAACTGCCCTGGGCTGTCCTAGGAACATAATCCTTCTATCTCCAGTTCACCCAAGTGTGTACCTCCATGCCTGGCCACATTAATTATTAATGTAAATAAAACTCAAGTAAATTGCAAACTCATTTTCTCAGTCACCCCAGCCAGTCTAAGGGCTCCATATGTGTGTACGATTGATGGTCATCCTAACAGTGTAGGTTCTAGATCATTGTCACTGCAAGAGAAAGTTCTTTGCAGGGTGCCAGTGTAGACACTGTCTTGTAAGGCATTGATGAGGGTATCTGCATGCTGGATAGAGTCCCTCCTGTGTTTGAAGCCAGTGTTGGCAGTGTCCTTTTTGTGCCTGAGCTGTATCTCCTCTATGGCCCCTGGCTGCAGGATGCCCGTCAGAAGTTCCGCTCTGTTCTGGTGGAGGCCACAGTGAAACTGGATGAGTTGGTGAAGAAAATCGGCAAAGCCGTGGAGGACTCCAAGCCCTACTGGGAGGCACGGAAGGTGGCGAGGCAGGTAAGAGTCCTTCAGACCCAACTGCACTGTGGGGGCCCTTGATGGTTTCCATATCTCCCATGGGGTCAGGACAAGTCATTCAGTGTGATGTGAAGTAGTCCTGACCATGTACACGGCTGCCCTTGCAATCCTCTCCTCTCCACCTGCTTCTTTTCAGCTCATGACACTATTAACAGTGTATGAGTTGGCATTTGACCCTGCAAGTGGGTGTCACCTTGCTATCCCCTGAACTGGGCAGCAGTGGGGATGTGTGACTGTGTCCTCCTTCCCTAGTGACAGCCTGGGAGGCAGGAGGAACACTGACTGGCTTTTTGTCCAGAGGAACAGAGACCAGAAAGTGAGAGAGAGAGAGAGAGAGGGAGAGAGAGAGAGAGAGTGTGTGTGTGTGTGTGTGTGTGTGTGTGAATTGGAGAGTTACACTCAGGTGATTGCTGGGGGGGCTGTGTGGAAGTTAGCTACAGTTTCCAAATGTGTTTCTTTGATCACCTGAGTAGTACTTGTGTAATGTGTTGTTACCTCCCAGCCTCTGAAAGCCAGGTTTTGTGACCACAGAAGGAAACGAGTCCCCAACAGTTACAGTGCCTGTTGAGTGCCAGGCCCTGGGCTGGGGCCTTTTCATTTAGACTGCTGCTGCTTTTTTTTAGTGGTCTTGGGGCTTGAAGTCGACCTGGGCACTGTTCTTGAGCTACTTTTCGCTTAAGGCTGGCTCTCTACCACTTGAGTTATGTACAGCTCCACTTTGGATTTTTTCTGTGATTAATTGGAGATGAGAGTCTCACAAACTTTTCTGCTCAGGCTGTCTTTGAATCATGATCCTCAGATCTCAGCCTCCTGAGTAGCTAGGATTACAGGCATGAGCCACTAGTGCTGCTGCTTTTTATGCTGTTACTGGAACTTGAACTCAGGGCCTGAGTGCTTTGTTTGTTTGTTTTTTTCACTTAAGGCTACGGCTCTGCTACTGAGCCACAGCTCCATTCTAGATTTCAGTGGTTCATTGGAGATAAGATAATAGTAAAGATAATAGAAAAGCATGGACTTTTCCTGCCCAGGCTGGCTTTGAACCTTGATCCTCAGATCTCAGCTTCCTGAGTAGTTAAGATTGCAAGCATGAGTCACTGGGTACCCAGCTCATTTAGGCTTCTGTCAGTGTCTCTTCAGCATGAATCATCAACCCTGTGGTGTGTCTTAGGATAAGAACTCAGATTTCTCCCAAAGACCTGAGGAGTTGGTCCAAAGGAGAGCCCAGTAACAGTGGCCAGGTGTCACCCTCCTGGGTGCTTATTACATGATTGAAGATGATGCTTCCAGGAGCTTCCCTGTGAAAGGAAATATTTAGAGAGCAACCACAAAAGTAGTATTAGTGTCTGCCATGTATGTGCATCATACGTTTTGAGCACCAAGGAGAAGATACCAGTAGAGTGGGAAACGAAACCCTGGAAATCTAGGAACAACTTAAGATCAGATTCTTAGAGGATGGAAGGCTAGGATTTAATAGTTCCCTTCTATACCCTGTCACTAAAATGTTATAGTGACTGATGGCTCAGCCTGGGCAGAGAGGTCCTTGAGACTCTTGTCTCTAATTACCCAGCAAAAAGCCGGAAGTGTGGCTCAAGTAGTAAACCACCATCCTTGAGTGGAAAAAGTCAAGTTGAGAGTGTGAGGACCTAGGTTCAAGCTCCAGTACTGGCACATACAAAAACGTCTTCCAAGGACTCCTTACTGATTTGGCAGTCCAACTGAGATCCCATCTTTGTGTTTAGGGTTTGCGCTCTGAGCCTGGAGCTGAGGTTCAGGTCTCAGCTATGAGAGACCCTTCTTCCTTCCCGTCTGGTCTCCAGCAAGCTGCAAGCAGCTCCCTTTCACCAACTCCGGACCTCACCCAGCCTCAGCCGTTGGAAGGAGAAGAAACCCTCTGAGATTGGCTTTCATGCCCCATAGCTTCCAGAACCTTGAGGTGTGCTGCCCTTCCCTCTAGGGGGTTCATGTTGCAGAGTCTTTAGGGTTCCCCTGGACCACCAGGGATATGTTTTGCATACTGTTTCTCACTGTCTCCCACTGTTGTTCAGTTTGAGGAGAAATTTCTGATAGTTCAAAACATTGAATAATACCAGAGAGATTGTAATTCTGGGTCCTTTTTTTAAAAACAAAACAAAACAACAACAACAAACAAACCAACAGTACTAAGGCTTGAACTCAGGGCCTAGGCCCTGACCTTTAGCTTTTTTCACTCAGGTCTGGCACTCTGCCACTTGAGCCACAGTTCCACTTTCAACTTTTTGGAGGTTAATTGGAGACAGGAGTTTCATGGACTTTTCTGGCCTGGCTGACTTAAAACTGTGAATCTTAGATCTCAGTCTCCTGAGTAGCTAGGATTACAGGCATGAGCCATAAACTCTCAGCCTCTCTTCTGAGTCTTTTGTAACACTTGTATTTATTGTCCATTGATTCTTCTTAGCCCATAAATATCTATACAGACTTAAGTATTGCTACTCCTTAAAACCTGAAATGCTCCAAAATCAAACCATTATTTTTGCTGTTGGTGGTGGTCATGGGGCTAGAACCCAGGGCCTAGGTGATGCCTTTTAGTTTTTCTGCTCAAACCTATCACTCTACCACTTTGCTCCACAGCTCCACTTCTGGTTTTCTGATAGAGATAAAAGTCTCATGGCCTTTCCTACCTAGGCTGGCTTTGAACCATGATCCTCATATCTCAGCCTCCTGAATAACGAGGATTACAGGTGTGAGCCACCAGCACCTGGCACAAGTGGAAAACTGTATACCAAAAACACTTAGGAATTTTTTTGGCATAGAATTTTCTTTAGTCTCTGTGTATTAAGTATCCAAACAAGCTATATGCAAATACAAAAAAAAAAATGAAATGCTTCTGGGCCCAAGGATTTTGCACAAGGGATATTTACCCTGTGAACAGGCCCTGGAGAAGCGGGACCTAGAAACAGGTCTGTCAGGGAATCTTCTGAGGGTTAAGGGAATGGCTTTCCCTACTGACATTTTCTTGCCTGGTATCCTGAACTCTGATTTGGTAGAGATGACCTTGAGGTGGCCCTCTGGTTCAGATCCATGGTCCCAGTTGATGAATTGTATCCTGCTTTGGCAGTGCTGATGTCAAGCCTGCTGCTACCTCAGGACCTTTGAACTTGCTGTTCCTTCTTTGAGACATTATCTTAATCCTGATATTTTCATGGCCCAGTTTCTGTCCAAAAGTCATGTTATCCATGAGACCTTCTGGAGTTAACATATTTAAGATGGAAATTCCCAGTGTCTGTCTCTGCCACCTCCAGCCTCCATCCCCTGACTTGCTTTTCCTGTGTTGAGCTGCTCACCATCTGGCTTGTTAGTTGATGTGTTTGCAACGAATCAAATTTGCTGGAAAAGATTTCACCTGTTTGGTTCATGACTTGTTTGCAATGCTACATCTAGGAGGCATTCAAGTAGCTAATAAAAGAAGAGACAAAAGTGAACGATGGGACTAAGGGCCACTGGCAGATCACTCACCCTTTGTTACCTCCCTACTCGTGGGGGGACGTGAGGCTTAATCTTCCTGTGTTTTTTCAATGTTGTGTGTCTGTATGTGTCTATCTTTCTGTGTGAGTATATTAGATCTGTGTCTATGTGCTAGTACTAGATCTTGAACTCAAGGCCAGGTTCAAGTGCTTAGTGTTCAAGTTGTAGTGTTTTTGTTTTCAAAACTGGTGCTCTACCACTGGAGCCACAGCTTCACATTCAACTTTTTGTTGGTTAATTAGAGGTTAATCTCTAATTAATCTCAGAGACTTTTCTACTTGTGCTGGCTTCACACTGCAGTCCTCAGATCTCACCCTCTGGAGTAGCAATTGTAGGTGTGAGCCATCAGCACCCAACATCCCTCCAACTTCTGTCCTGTCTCATAGCTAAGCAGGCAGAGAGTGGGAAGACAGGCACAGTTCAGCTTTGTCTGCTTTTGGGTTCATCCAATTGCATATAGTGCCATGAATCTCAGAGTAGATTTCATACCTGCCCCTGCTTTTCTATACCCAAATCCTCTTTGATGGGAAAGAGGGTTGGAAGGAACTGGGTTGGGAGACTGAGTCTGTTGGGTAGAGGACATCTCTCCCTCCTCTCATCTTTCCTCTTGTCCAGAGGACAATATGACCGAGTCCTTTGTGCAGTCACAGATGCCCAGGTCCTCAGGATGACTGGCATTGAAGGGAATGGGTCCTAGGTTTGTTACCTGCACAGCCTCCATGACCTCCTCCCTGCTTGTTGGTGTGGGAAGAAGGAGGAGAAGGGTCAGAGTGGACCCTGCTTGCAGCCTCCAGGGACCTCGTTGGTCTCTGGCCAAGGAACTGGAAGAATGCTCAGGCTGAAGCGGGAACGGATACTACATTTCATCTCTGTGGATGGTGGGTCACCTGGGCTTGGGGCCAGATGGCACGAGTGTTCGCTGACCTTCCTGAAGGTGCCTGGGGCAGTGGCCACCTCCTGCTGCTGCCGAGGGGGCTTCCTGTTTTCTTCCTCTGCCATGTTCCTACCCACCCCTTCCTTTTCATATTTATAAACCCTCTGACAGCCCATCGAGGATGGTGCCAGAGTCCTGCAAAGCAGTTCCTTTAAGGACATCTTTCTTGTTGTCCTCATCCTCCAAATACTGACAGTCAAGGGACCCATATGGCTCTTATAACTTACTTAGGTGAGCTAATGTGTCTTCCAGTGGAACCCTTCCTTATATGAGCCTCGATTTAGCTTCCCTTCAGAAAATTAGGATTTATGGTGGAAAATGTAGAAAATGGATGAAAACTTAAAAATTAAAAAAACAAATACCTCCAGTTCTTTCTGTTACATGTGGTGTGTATCCTCTTGGCTGTTTCTGATCCTACTGGAATTGTGGTTTTATACATCTGAAGTGGCAGCATCTCAACTGAACATGAGCACTTCTGGCTTTTGGGTGGTTAATTGGGGATAAGAGTCTCACAGTCTTCAGACTTTTTCCTGCTTGGCCTGGC